TTCTTTCTCCACAGTAAGAACTGCCATGAAATATTCATTTAGTATCTCTTCCATCTTCTGAGGTTCAACGGAAAGATGACCTCTGTGATCTTTTAAGGGGCTGTACTCTCTCTTCCCTACCCACTCACTCACCCACCCTCCCTCTCTCTAGTTGCTCTTAATGTACTTGTAGAATCTCTGGATTATCCTTAACTTTATCTGCCAAGGCTATCTCATTATCTCCTCTTTACCTTTCTCATTCCCCTCTTAAGGATGACCTAACTTTTTTTTATACTAGAGATTCATTTGATCCCAGTTGTCTATATCTAATATGGCTCTTTTTTATTTTTTGACTAGAATGTCTATCTTTATTCATCTGTTGTTCTCTAATCCTACCAGCCGTACCTAACAGGAACATAGTGACTCTGAACTCTTGTAAGCACGCTTGTGAAGCCTCGCATGCGTCAGCTGTCCTTTTACCTGCGAACAGTCTACTCCAATCAACTTTTGAAAGTTCTTGTCTCATACCATTAAAATTTGCCTTACTCCAATTACACCTTCCATAAAAGTTAAAGTTCTTATCCTTCTTCATAACTACTTTAAAACTGATGGAATTATGATCACTAGTCCCAAAGTGTTCCCCTACTAACACTTCAGTCACTTGTCCTACCTTGTATCCCAAAAGGTCAAGTTTTGCTCCTGCTCAAGTAGGAATATTTACATAATCATTTAAAAAGACTTTCTTGAACACCTAAATTCCTCACCACCTAAACCTTTAACACAATGGCAGTCCCAGTCAATGTTTGGAAAATTAATATCCCCTGCTATTACAACCCTATTATTCTTACATGTATCGGCAATCTCTCTATATATTTGCTTCTCAATTTCCCTCTGACCATTGGCAGAGCTGCTAGTACACTCCCATCAAGATGATCATCACTTTCGTATTTCTAATTTCAACCCATATTTTTACTGGATAATCCCTCAAATATCCAATTTCTTTGGTCTAAAATGCCATTCACCCTCTCTTGCCTCCCTTTTATCCTTCCTATAGCAGCTAAAACCTGGAATATTGAGCTAGCTACCTGCTCTATCCATCCCTCAGCCAAGTTTCTGTAATAGCTGTATAATGAAACCAGGAGAAGTCTACATTATAAATCTGCTCTCCATGTATATATTAGGCATTCCTCATTGCACTGTTATTTGCAGGTTCTCAATTTAGAAATAACCTCTTGGTTAGGGCTGTGCACAGAGAATGGGGTATTCTTTGACTACGATGATCCTAACAAATCTGGTCAATCACAGTTAAGCTAGGTATTTCAAAACTTCACAATTTCAAGAGCAGGTTAAGCTGCAATACCTGGCTCAAAGATCTGTACATAAGTATGAAGTATTTTAATTTTTTTTCTGACATTAGTCTTGGTGAAAAATATGAATGAATAATGTAGGCAGAAGCACATTGTTCAAAGCTTTCAACAGTACAAAAAAAATCCATCTGTGACTGAAAATCGTGGCTATTTATTGTACTTCTGGAGTGTGTCATAGCTAATGAACTGTTCAATGACAGTGGACAGTTTAATTTCCTATTTACAAATTATTAATGTCTAGTAAGAGATATTAGTAAATAATGCCACGAGAAAAGTTATTGGTGTCAGCTTCCTAAGTGTTCTCATTCTACTGAATGCAACACCTCAATATAGAATTGCAAAATATGAATCATTGCAGAGAACTTAGCAGTGGTGCTATTCTTCATGATGTTATGTTTTTAGATATATTTGGATTGAAAGAAAATGCCCATGACAGCATTGATTAAAAATGTCAGACTTAATATATGTATAAGAAAACAAAACTTAACTATTTACCTTCATAAGGTATGTGTTTGGGTGGAGTTAAAAATATAATATAATTACTTAAAGGAGGATGTATTGGCCCAGAAGGAGTGAAACAAAGGCTCATTAGAGTAGATCCTGAGAGGTGGAACATGCTCTTTCAGCAGAGACGCAGTAGACAAGACCTACAGTTTTCCAACAAATTTACAGTACAAAAACTTTTCTTTGTGTCTCCTTACTGTTTACCTGCTTCTATTTTTGTCCCAAGTTGTGGTACAATGTTATTTTTGATACAAGCTGCACTTATCAAATAGCATTCACTTTGCATCTGGAATACTGAATGACACTAACTAGAAGAACTGGGGCAAAGGACTGCAAATACTGGAGGAACTGAGCAGGTCTGGCAGCATCTGTGGAGAGAAACAGTTTACATTTCTACTAGTGTTCTAAGAGACATTGGTCAGCGTTAACACAATAGTGTGCTATAGGCTCCCATCACAGCAGGGTATGGAGCAAGGAGACAATAAGGATGACAGATGCTGGAAACCAGGGCTAAAGCTGAGAGGCTGGAAAACCACAGCAGGAACGTCAACGTTCTGGGGCTGAAACCGAGCAAGAACAGTTGTTTTGGTTGGGGTTACGGGAGTGGAATGCCTCATCCTGGGAGCAGATGCGGCAGAGGCTAAGGAATTGGGAATAGGGGATGGCATTTTTGCAGGAAGGTGGGTGGGAGGTGTATTCTAGGTAGCTGTGGGAGTCAGTGGGCTTAAAATGGATATCGGTTTCTAGGTGGTTGCCCGAGATGGAGACAGTTGTTCTTGCTTTAATTCCTAGATAGTAACACCACCACCCTCTGGAGGAAATTAAAATAGCAGGCACTTGCCATTACTCATTGAATTAAATGAACTGGTGTTAGAACTGTAAAAGCATTGTTTGTATTTAGTCTTTCATACAGACGATGGCTATTCCTTGATGCCTGTAGCAAGTTGGAGGATAGGTTTCTAGAAAGTAGTACAGTCTATTAGGCAGAAAAGAGGAAAGCATTACAATTTTAACAGTCATAAGTTATATGACACCAGGTTTATTTGAAACCACAAGCTTTGAATGCCTTTGTCACCTGACAAAGGGGGGGCAGTACTTCATAAGCTTGTGGTTTCAAATAAACTTTAGATTATAACCTTGTCCTATAACTTCTGACCTTGTTGACCCTAGTCCAACACCAGCACTTCCACATCAGTTTTGACAGATGCATTGATACATTTTAAGCAGCACTTAGGTCTATACAGAAAACAAAATGGTGAGTTAGATATTTGGGGGGGGGGG